TCATTATTACTATCATTATTATTAACAATAGTAATAATAGTAGTAACAGTCGTAGTAATAGTAGTAGTTATAGTAGTAGCAGTAGCAGCAGTAACAGTAGACGTAAGAGTAGTAACAAAAGTAATAATAGTAGTAACAGTCGTAGTAATAGTAGTACTAATAGTAGTATCAATAGTAATAATAGTAGTAATAGTAGTAACAGTAGTAGTAATAATAGTAACAGTAGTAATAATAGTAGTAATAGTAGAAATGAGTAATAGTAGTAATAGTAGTAGTAAAGTAGTAGTAATAAAAGTAGTAGTAATAATAGTATAGTAGTAATTAGTAAGTATAGTAGTAGTAAATAGTAATCAGTAGTAGTAATAGTAGTGTATAGTAATAGTAGTAGTAAGTAGTGTAGTTGTGATAGTAGTAGTAAGTATAACAGTAGAAGTAATGTAGTATCAATTAGTAATAGCAGTGGTAGTAATAGTAGTAGTAATATTATTATCATTATCATTATCATTATCATTATCATTATCATTATCATTATCATTATTATTATTATTATTATTATTATTATTATTATTATTATTATTATTATTATTAGTAGTAGTAGTAGTAGTAGTAGTAGTAGTAGTAGTAGTAGCAGCAGCAGCAGCAGCAGCAGCAGCAGCAGCAGCAGCAGCAGCAGTAATAATATTGATGACAGTGATAGTTGTAGTAATAATTATAATATCATTAGTATTAATAACGATATCAATAGTAGTAATAAAAATAACACTAATAAGAGAAGTAGCAGTAGTACACGTTGAGTAATAATAGAAAGAAAGAAACGGAAAGAGAAAAAGATAACAGTAATTAGTTGTTGCAGACTAATCAGACGCAAGAATGGTTACCAAAGAATAATTACTAGTATTACTATCGCCACCACCACAAATTCCTATCATTTTGACGGCTACAACTACTGCCACTCTTGCTACTTTTAATACTATTACTACTACCGCCGCCGCCCCTCAGCTGCTCCTATTAAAAGTAACAATACTACAATTACTGCTAATATTAGCACTGCTTCTGCTACCTCTGTTCTCCTCACAGTTATCTTCATCATCATAGTAGTAGTAGTAACAGTTGTAATAGTAGTCATAGTACTAGTCAAAGTAGTACTAGTAAAATCATTACTAGTAAGAGTAATAGTAATATTACTAATAGTAAGAGTAGTAACATCACTAGCAGTACTAGTACTTGTAGTACTAGTAGCAATAGCACTTGTAATACTAGTAGTAATAGCACTTGTAGTACTAGTTGCAATAGCACTTGTAGTACTAGTACTAGCAATAGTATTACTAACAGCAGCAACACCAAAAGCAGAAATCACATCACCAATACCGTCATACGATAAGCATAAGCCTCACCAGACAATAATAACAGCAATCCGAATAGCAACAGCAATTACCTCACCACCAGACAGCCATCCGAATAGCAACAGCACCTCACCTCCCGCCGTCCTGTCCGTCCTTCTTCACTCCTGTTCGCCCTCCCAGCTCTCCAGCGCTCCGTGCAGTCGACGCAACAACAGCAGCTCCCAACGCTCTGGTTTCACGTCATGGAAAGATAGAGGAACATGGGGGTGAACTTGTGTTTGAAAAAGAGAGGGAGATGGGGGAGGGGAGGGAGGGAGAGGGGAATGGAGGTAGGGGGAGAGGGAGGGAGGGAGGGAGGGAGGAGGGGAGGGGAGGGGGGATGGATGGAGGGAGGAGGGGGAGGGGGAGGAGGTGGGAGGAGAGGGAGAGGGAGGGGATGGATGAGGGAGAGGGAGAGGGAGAGGGAGGGAGAGGAGGAGGGAGGGGGAGGGAGGGGGACAGGGGAGAAGAGGCAGGGGAGAGTAGAGAGAGGTAAGTAAGAGAGTAAGAGAGAGTAAGAGAGAGTAAGAGAGAGGGAGAGAGAGAGAGAGAGAGAGAGAGAGAGAGAGAGAGAGAGAGAGAGAGAGAGAGAGAGAGAGAGGAGAGAGAGAGAGAGAGAGAGAGAGAGAGAGAGAGAAGACTTTTTTTTTTTTTTTTTTTTACTTTGACACGTTTCTTGAGACAAATAAATATTACATCTCAAAAGGATGAGGCAACAACACATAGAACATAAAAACTAGCTATAAGTAATGGTGAACATTCAAATAAGACACGCATATACTGTCACTATCATAATCGTCCATATTACTATGAACACTAACATTATTATTATCATTGTTACTATTATATTAGTAGTAGTACTATCATCATAATCATCATCATAATTATCATAAATTGTTACAACTATCATAAAATTAAGAACATTAGTATTATCAGAAGATTATCAACTTTATTACATCATCCATTATCGCCTGCGCTTTCTCACCTCTCTTCCCCGGTTCCTCATCTCCCCTCCTTCGCCTCCTCCTCCTCCTCTTCCTCTTCTTATTCGGTGGAAGGGGCGAGAGGTGGAGGAAGTGGAGGATATAGGCGAGTGTGTACATAAGGGTGAATGAGATGATGACGAAGCCAACGGCGATGTTCCAGCTGGCGGGGGCCGATGCCGTAGCTAGGGTGGGAGAGAGGGAGAGAGGGAAAGGGAGGGAGGGAGAGGAGGGAGGGAGGGGAGGGAGAGGGGATGGGGAGAAGGAGGGGGGAGAGGAAGAGGGGGAGGGGGAGGGAGGGAAGGAGGGAGAGGGAGAGGGATGAGAGAGGGAAAGGGGGAGGGAGGAGGAGAGAGGGAGGGGGAGGGGGAGGGAGAGGGAGAGGGAGAGGGAGAGGGAGAGGGAGAGAGAGGGAGAGGGAGAAAGGAGGGAGGAGGGAGAGGGAGGGGAGGGGGAGGGAGGGGAGGGAGGGGAGGGGGAGAGGGGGGGGAGATGAGAGGGGGGATGGAGAGGGAAAGGGGAGGATGAGGGGAGAGAGGGAGGGAATGAAGGTGGGGAAATAAAGAGGAGAGAGAGAGAGAGAGAGAGAGAGAGAGAGAGAGAGAGAGAGAGAGAGAGAGAGGAGAGAGGGAGGAGGAAGAGGGAGAGGAGAGAGGAGGGGGGAGGGGAGGGGGAAAGGGGAGAGGAGGGAGAGAGGGAGGGAATAAAGGTGGAAATAAAGAGTGAGAGAGAGAGAGAGAGAGAGAGAGAGAGAGAGAGAGAGAGAGAGAGAGAGAGAGAGAGAGAGAGGAAGAGAGAGAGAGAAGAGAGAGAGAGAGAGAGAGAAGAGAGAGAGAGAGAGAGAGAGAGAGAGAGAGAGAGAGAGAGAGAAGAGAGGAGGGAAGAGGGAGAGGGAGAAGGGAAAGGTTGAATGAAGGAAAGAGGGAGAGAGAGTGTGGAGGTGGATGTAGGGGTGGGTGGCGAGAGTGAGTGGTGAGTGGGGTTGGGGAGGAAAATGAGGAGAGAGAAAAAGTATTATACTTTAAAAGTCAATGAGAGACATATCGGATATCCACACACACATACTCACAGGCACACCTCCCCCCCTCTCCACACCCCACACACAAATACACCCCCTTCCCTATTCCACAACCCCCTCTTAACAAACACAACTCACCCCAAACAAACAACAAATAAACACACAAATAAACAATACCGTTGTCCTTTAAATTCTATCTCAGAGGGAGACTCCATCGATCCCGCAGAACTCACAGGAGGCGCTGGTATCAAGGAAAATTGGTCTGTCTGAGCGAGGCCGCCACTGCCATTCGGATTCTGGTAATAAGAAAAACAACTAATAATAATCGGTAATACTTTCTGCTATGGACACGATTTCCAGCCTCACTGGCATTCGGATAAAAACAATAATAATCGGTAATACTTTCTGCTATGGACACACGATTCCCAGCCTCCACTGCCATTCGGATTCTGGTAATAATAAAAAACAACAATAATAATCGGTAATACTTTTCTGCTATGGACACACGATTCCCAGCCTCCACTGCCATTCGGATTCTGGTAATAAGAAAAATAATAATAATCGGTAATACTTTCTGCTATGGACGCACGATTCCCAGCCTCCACTGCCATTCGGATTCTGGTAATAAAAACAACAATAATAAGCGGTAATACTTTCTGCTATGGACACACGATTCCCAGCCTCCACTGCCATTCGGATTCTGGTAATAATAAAAACAATAATAATCGGTAATACTTTCTGCTATGGACACACGATTCCCAGCCTCCACTGCCATTCGGATTCTGGTAATAAGAAAAAACAATAATAATAATCGGTAATACTTTCTGCTATGGACACACGATTCCCAGCCTCCACTTCCATTCGGATTCTGGTAATAATAAAAAAACAATAATAAGCGGTAATACTTTCTGCTATGGACACACGATTCCCAGCCTCCACTGCCATTCGGATTCTGGTAATAAGAAAAAATAATAATAATTAATACTTTCTGCTATGGCACACGATTCCCAGCCTCCACTGCCATTCGGATTCTGGTAATAATAAAAATAATAACAATAATAATCGGTAATACTTTCTGCTATGGACACACGATTCCCAGCCTCCACTGCCATTCGGATTCTGGTAATAAGAAAACAATAATAATCGGTAATACTTTCTGCTATGGACGCACGATTCCCAGCCTCCACTGCCATCGGATTCTGGTAATAATAAAAATAACAATAATAATCGGTAATACTTTCTGCTATGGACGCACGATTCCCAGCCTCCACTGCCATTCGGATTCTGGTAATAAGAAAAAACAATAATAATCGGTAATACTTTCTGCTATGGACGCACGATTCCCAGCCTCCACTGCCATTCGGATTCTGGTAAAATAAAAATAACAATAATAATCGGTAATACTTTCTGCTATGGACACACGATTCCCAGCCTCCACTGCCATTCGGATTCTGGTAATAATAAAAATAATAACAATAATAATCGGTAATACTTTCTGCTATGGACACACGATTCCCAGCCTCCACTGCCATTCGGATTCTGGTAATAATAAAAATAACAATAATAATCGGTAATACTTTGCTATGGACGCACGATTCCCAGCCTCCACTGCCATTC